CTATATGCTTCAAATGTCATTACAAGGAAACGGCGCCCAACCTTGTGGGTCCTCCGAGGCCAGTTAGTGATCTGTAGCAGTAGTTGTCATTTCGTGATCTGCAGAATCTCTCCTGTTAGGATGGAGTTTAACCTGACAGACTACCGTGTCCGTAGATTGGTGTTGAGAGCATGCTGAATCGTTTCTTTAAAGACTGGATATTCTACTGGTCATATGCCAACCATCACTACTTCGCTGTTGTACCATCAAGCTGGTAAACCTACGTGAGAGCCACAATCATATTTTTGCCTGGAGTTGATTCCATTTAGGGAGGTGACGCAAAAGATACCAATAATTTTGCGCCACAATCGTTTATTACCGTGCACTCAGATGTGACTCATTGGTTAAAGCGCAAACTTAGTGACCAGAAGGTCCCTATTTCGAGCCCAACCTCCGCATTTCGGCTGCTCCTGTCTAGGCATCGGCAACCTGGCATTATCTCCTCTATCGTGCTCCCTTCTGATGGCATGGCTCTTCTGAAATAATGACTTCCCAATCGGTTCCAAACCTTTCCCGACTGATTGAAAATCACCATAGTTATGTCGTTGAGGTGTAGCTATGGTATCAGCGAACAAAACAGGCTATATGAAGCAGCTTACGCGGGGCTCTTAAGCAAGCACCTTGGGATGACGTCATTTTTAGCTGAGATTATTTGCAGTGTGCTTAAAATACTGTCCAAAATAGATTTGACCTTAGAACTGTTGCGATTTGCTGCGCCATGCCGCTTCAAATTGGAGTATTTTGATTAGACTTCAAATTTGAAAATCTCTGTTTGCGATCAAAAGAAGTATTGTGACTCCGCATACAAAACTACACTTGAGCAAAAATTAATAATTTACTATGTTTTCAAGTAACTACGCGTCAGCTCAAAGTATTTGAGGTATAATTTGTAAAGTGATAATTCGTTTCTGTACGCACTGTGCATCATGAATATGCGTAGACACGCCTAAGTGTATGACTTCCCATCGGTTCCAAACCTTTCCCGACTGATTGAAAATCACCATAGTTATGTCGTTGAGGTGTAGCTATGGTATCAGCGAACAAAACAGGCTATATGAAGCAGCTTACGCGGGGCTCTTAAGCAAGCACCTTGGGATGACGTCATTTTTAGCTGAGATTATTTGCAGTGTGCTTAAAATACTGTCCAAAATAGATTTGACCTTAGAACTGTTGCGATTTGCTGCGCCATGCCGCTTCAAATTGGAGTATTTTGATTAGACTTCAAATTTGAAAATCTCTGTTTGCGATCAAAAGAAGTATTGTGACTCCGCATACAAAACTACACTTGAGCAAAAATTAATAATTTACTATGTTTTCAAGTAACTACGCGTCAGCTCAAAGTATTTGAGGTATAATTTGTAAAGTGATAATTCGTTTCTGTACGCACTGTGCATCATGAATATGCGTAGACACGCCTAAGTGTTTCTGACAATCTCGTGTTTCCGTGAAATTGTGGAATGACGAGTTTGTTTGTATTGACAGGTTCGACTTTTATAAAGGTCGCATAAAACCTTACTGATACGTACGTTGTCAAGATATTGCCCATATTTACCGAAATGTGCCATCATTGGAGTGAAAATAATCTTCATATGGAGCAAAAGACTGTTCGTATGGGTAATGTGATATCAGGCCTAGTTTATTTTTATAGAGTGCAAACATGTCTTTCAGATGACAGTGAATTATGGGCAGTGGTTTGAAATCAACCACAGAGCAGATAGAGTTTGTGAAGTAATCATGAGTAAGGAATGTGCTATTAACGTCTTACCAAAAGCCATAAATAAAAGTCATCTTCTACGACATTTTCGGTAGCAGACCTGCGCAGCACGAGCAATATAGGGCTACTGCCAGGATAAGTGCTGTGAAAGTTGCATGTATTCCTGCTATCTTCTTTCATATAATTTAAAACTAGTTATATTGTGACGTGCCAGTGATCACAGTGTCAGGCTTAATGTTGTATTTTGGTCTAATTGATGAGCTAAAACCTGACTGTCGTGGTCGTAGCGATTGTCCTTTATAAGGTTTGTAAATGCTTCTGATAACGCCCTCTGATATTTTGCTTAGATTGTAGTATATTATGCTCGTTGATAAGCAGAAATTGCGATAATTCTTTACCTTTCTCATTTTTTACTATTCTATCTAGAGTGCTGTTTCATAAATTTACTTTGAGCGGAAGCTTTTGGCACAAAAGTGTTGTGGTTGTCTTTAGATCAAGGTACCAAAACTGTTTGCCTTCCAATTCGGTTAGTATACAAAACTTCTGAAGTCCTCATTATGAATATGCCAACACAGCTGATGCAAATTTTTAAATATTACGTGTACAAAATTTATTCACTGCGATGCGACCAAAACTTGAAAATATGCAGATGATGTCCTAGTTCCCTGGCTATTTCCTCCCCGTCATTCACAAACTAGAACTTTAACATAATCTGTTAGTTTTTTTATTAAATAACAACACTGGTAATATAAAGCCGAAATGAGATACTGCCTTTGAGTGACATCCCATGTTTTGGTCCCAGTATTTGTTTGCTGTCACGCAGTGCCCAGTTCGCTTTTCATTTGCAGAAATGGACTTTTGGAACTAATCTCAGTGATTTATTATTCATGATGCTTGAGAGTTGTGCAACTAAACATCTTAGTCATTGACTTAATATAGTGCATTTGGTGTTGCAGCTACAAGTATTTTTATGGGCGAAAACCATTGCTGAATCTAGGCTTATTGCTTCAACGAGGAGCTATACATGGTAGAGTAACTCTGATGCAGCTTATACATAGTTGGTTTTTGTTCACGAGTTTTTTTGCAGAGTTTAGCCGACATTATTACCTAACCTAATATTCTTACGTATGAACATAACTGTAGAAATCCTCTTAAACTACTGTCAAGGCTTTAAATAGTCAGTCTTTCTAGAGAGAGAAACGTTAAATCTTCCAAAAAACACACGGTTTCCCTTTGCAGAAGTTCACGACTCGCTGAGTAACTCGTCTTGTTTTATATTTGATTGTTTACAGTTGTAAAAATGTATTTCATTCTCATCCAGTTTTCTCATAAATGAGTATAAAACAAGGTTTTTTCTATTCAAGCGCAAAAATTTTCTGTGAAAAAATGGGTTGTATTACTGTCAAATTACCACAGCAAGCGGAAAGCGGTTTTGAAAAATTCAAGAAAATTACAGTAGGCGGATTTCTTTCATAAACAAAGTTGCATATGAGTCACCTTTTTCCTTTTGCACGTTTTACACTTGTTAAAATCACAATTATTCGGAGCACTGACAAGTAAATCGTTTGGCCATTTGTTTACCACAAAAACCAATAACAAGAACCACAATTGTTTCTAACAGAGAATGCTAATAGTGTAAATTGTAAACTCATGAGCAATAAAGTGATCACGTTACCGAGACGGACCACTTCGGATACCACAAAATGGCCTGAAGCAACGTAAGGAAAAGCTAAATCAATCAAGTTCCCATTGGGTTCCTCTTTCGAGTTATATAATTCAGCTAATATCAGAACCGTAAACATAACAAGTGAACACTACTATAATCCAACCAAACGGATTCCTTCTAGGGTGAAGGATGATCGTTAGTGAGGATAGTATACTGACTAATAGAAACACTCGTTAAGTGTGTCTCAATCATTAATCCACAAGTTGTGCTAATACTGCCGGAATGGCAACCTCTCTCGACGTAAAAAGACAAACGAAACAATTTGTATTTTGACTCTTCAATTTCTTGACCTCCCATAATGAACCTTTGTACCTTGGTAAAGCCTCACATTAGCTTGTCCACAAAGCCTAGGGCTAAGGACTTTTTCTTAGAAGCAGATTCTTGGAAGCTTATTTTATTTGCTTGCACCCTTACCACAGCGAAGTGAATCATGGGTGCTTTCGGTTTTCTGTAAGTGGGGATCGTCTCACTGTTGTAAACATTGTTATAAAAAAGGAACATCGGTATAAAACACTGCAATATTAAACCAGTCACACTGATGCAAAATGTTTGCTCTCCGATAATTAAAGCAACTTAAACCACTAACACGACACTGAATAAAACGAGTTATGTATTAAGAATAAGAATGTAGGAACTTGTGTAAGTATAATTGTTTTCCCCAGTTCCGTAACAACTGATTCAAAATATTTCAAGCAAGACCTCTTTTAGAGAAATTCAGGTCGTTTGGATCCTGTTACGCGTTGTTCAGTCATTTAGTAGCAATAACATGAACTTTTGGGGTACTCAAAAAATAATGGGTCACATAACATTTAGGTTGAATGACAAGCTAAAACTTGTTGAATTTTTTTCTCAAGTATGACATAGCAGTCAGTGATAAAACTTTCAAAAAGATTCATTTCGCTGCAGAAAACAGTCGCTGTTAATTGGATAACCCCGCAAGCAACCAGCCTATTGAGTACGGAATAATCTAGTAGTTACTACACACCGATAGCGCTGAAATTCCAGCCTATGTTTTACCGCTTTTCTGCACCAGTCTGTAAGCAGACGCAGTAAGATATCTCCTGTGACAAAGCAGCTAATGTAGCTGATTCGTCAGTATCCTGTATGGGTGGCCAGATTTTTCGGCCCCGGACCGATTGGTGAATTAGGAACCTTCACCATTCCTTTCATGAATTACACAAAGTGTATTCATCTTTTGCTCTAACCAGAACTATGAAGTGTTGGTTGATACCGTCAGCCTTCATGCGAAGCACGAACCAGAATTATCACCACCCAGGCTCCCATTCAATCACGTCGACACTGAAACGAGTAGCGGTGGGTTTCTCCGTACTTTTTGTTCTTTCCTCGTGCATTCAGCACTTACGTAATCGATCCTATGTATTTCTTTGTAGATCGGACTTAACTTAACTAATGAGCATGCAATCTAAGCGTTGATTAATGCGTATGATCTTAAGGTCACTCGTTTAAACTCAGCAAGCCACATGGCGTGTACGGAATATTTTTAACGCTATTCACACTCACATCCTTCGTCTCCTCCATTAGTTCCACGACTGTACGCCAGGTTGGGTTTGTATGTCAAGGACAAGCGCTTCACTCTATCGATTTCCCCTCATTGCACTTGAAATGGCCGACGACCTTGAACGGAAATTTTAAACCCATGTAAACTTTTCAGTTCGAGCATGGGTGTGGAGCATTTTGCGAATATGCATACAATAACTGACTGATCCCCCGACCCCATCTGTTTAAAATTGAGAATACAGTCGGATGTTTGTGCCCGATTTTTCTGGACGCTATTTGAATTACCAAAGTTTCCCCGCTGCTTTTGATTCGGAGATGCGGGCGGTCGCCTTAATTTCCGGATTGAAAAAGCCGGCGACTGCTGATCTCCAGTAATTGGCCGTCATCCAGGTATCTATCAGTGTGCTTGTCGAGCCTACCAATCGGAATGAAAACAATTATCCCATTCGAGTGGGCATCGCCAGTACGCGTGCAGCGGTTCGAATTTCTCACTTCATTCATGAAGATTTATGCGTCAATGTGAACTCCCCAAGCAGTGCGCACAGTTTCTTGCCGCTGGTCGTATATTTTAGAAATATCCCCATTTCGAAGAAATCTTCTCCCGTTTGTCGTGCCGTTAATCTTCAGTTCGCCAACGCTAGGTCCCATTGTGTTTCGTAAATATCTACCGGTTACTGATAGTACTTGCATGGACGGTCTGTGGCCGACTGACCATACTCAGCTTGCCGACAGTCCGGCTTACGTGCAGGAAAATAAATTGACCGCTAACCAGCTTTAAAGGTCTTGTTCAGTCAGATATCCGGAGGTCATATTCGTCTAAACTTTTATGCCCCTCTGAACCGTGATTGGAGTTTTATTCTGAACATGAAAGAGCCGAAAAACTCCAAGGAATGGGCTGCAAACACCAAGGGGATAACGACAGTTTGTCACCCCGGAACTCGTTGTCGAGCGTGAAATGTAAAATGGGGGTACGTCAGGTGAGTGATGGCGTGGCACGCTATACCCAGTTTGATAAAACTTCCACACGTATTCCATCCCTACGTTTGACCGTACCTCACACATTCGCTCAAGTCACTGAAAATGGGAACGAACTCTTCGCCTAGCCTCAGCCACCTCAGGATGCCTTTATTCAAATCTGCTGAGACTTTCGTTCGGATTTAATCATTTCGTTGGGTTCTCAGTCTGTATTTTCCACAATTTTCTGTGAAGATCGCGTTCCAGCTTGTGTGTTGTCACCAACTTGCTCTTACAAGAACCTTTAAACCCGACTCCACTGTAACAGTCCCTAAAGTTTCGCTGTGCAGCATGATTCTGATATTCCTGTTGCCATTTTTGTGCACTGCTAATCCTTTATTTGATCATCCCCAATTACGCTTCTCACGAAGTTGGCAGTGCATTTAAAACCCTTTGAGTTCCTTATGAGTGCCAAATGCCTCTTCACTTGGCAGTTAATCTGATGGCTGCTGATCTGATCTCTCACCCTGCAGACGGTATTCAGGTCCCTTACACATAATAAGCCCAATTCTTTTCTCACAATATGGAACCCGCCAGCCGTATCTTTCAGATTTCGTTGCTCTAATTCCTCACCTTGCACCTCTAATTTCTCCCCACCACCCGTAGCTTCTTCAGTGCCAAATTCAGCTACTATCCATTCAGCCTACATCCTCGGTTACCCGTCATTCACTCACCACCCGCAAACCCCTCCCACTGAGCTCAAAATACATGCAGTCAAGAGCCAACGCATTTGTCCCTTCTCTGTTCCCTCGATTAGGCAGATCTCCAGCCAAGGACATTCATGCCTTTTGAGCAGCTACTGCAAACTTGAGGTTCATTACGGACCTCTCTCAAAGCCGAAACATGACAACAAAATAACGACAGGCCACTAAGACATTTGTCCGCTACCATTTTTATAATTATTCTTCCTCAGATTATCAACTGCGCCCTCTGTTGGCAGATAAGCGATTCGCTGATTCTGACCTAGCCGCCACTGACACGAGCCCCCTGCTCTTAGCCGGTAAACCCATCTCTCGAAAATCAGTACCTTATCGTCCTGCTGCAGTGTCAACCAGGCTTGCCCATGAATACGTTACTCTATTTATGAATCTCACCAAATCCTGCATACTGCATCAGTGCGGAGGCCATCGGCTCTCCCCAAACGCAAAACCACCGATTGATTCAGCTTCTATATATGCCTTATTTAAGGAGAACAAACTGCTATTTCTTTTTATCGTGTGTATCCTTATCCAATGCTCCAGTGCGCATTTTCCATAAACCATTCTATCAAACAGGCTATTCGGGGCCACCATTAGCGATGGCTCCAGGTTAAGCCAAAAGTCTCAGGTTCTTCTTCTCGGTGTGCTTGTGCCACAATAACTTCGTTAATTTGGTGTTTCGTATTTTACAGTCTGTGCTTTATCACCCATTTAAATCGATATCCCCCGTCTCAGCCTTTCCTATTGTTTCATTTTAAGCAGCTTTCATTCTCACTGCCGCTACGCCTCTCACGACTTGGGATGGTGTTGGACGAAATGGTGAAGCAGTCTGTTGTCTGAAAACTGGAAAAGCTTTGGATAGTGGCTCACAGCGAGTGGATACAGGAAACTGTTGTGCAAGAGTTACAAGACTGAGGGTCAAACGATTAAGGGGGGAGTCAGACTTTGTTTAATTGAAAAACAGGTTGCTTAGGGTTCCAGTACAACGGTGGAGTACAGAACAAAACTTAAGAGAATCTTTGAAGCAACCATTGAAGATTAGAAAAACGTACCCCTGGCCGCCGAAACACTCAAAACCCGTAGTTTGTTCGTGCCGACTGGTGGTGAACACCTTAAAGGGTGCATGTTGTACCCACTTCGCTTAGTTTTTCTTACATAGTTATTGAGGCACCCACATGTCTGATCACAACTGTTAAGAAACGAATTGACCTTCTTCGTCTACATATATCTGCTTTTTCAATCTTCACGGATTTTATCAGTAGTCTGCTTCTAATTTTTCTTCTGGCTCGGTTTTGTGTCCCTCTGGATAAAACCGTTTTGCTGGTTTAATTGGTAACGGGGTGCGTGAATATCTGCGTTTGCGCACTTTATCTTTCCACCTATCTGTGTCTATATCGTTCTTTATAGGCGTTGATATGGTTCGACACTGTAGCACTGACGGGCCGAAAATTTTCCGGCAAGAAACGTAGCATAGATGTCGATTAATGACAGAAAAAGTTACAGCAAGTGTTTATAGTAGCTGGCTCGAACGAGTGTTTAGATAGTTGTTGATGCACTCTCAAAACCCGGTAAGAAAAAAGTAGCTTCAGTGTCTAAGTTGGAGAACTTCGTCCTCCGGCCACCTAACGCTCAGGTCTGAGGATTGAGCTGTAAACCAGCCTCGCTTCTGTAGCACTTGAAATTTGCGAATCCTTCAGTAATATATCAGCTTGCACATACGCAAATACACAACGTGTGTCTTATACTAAAAAGTTTTCATCTTTGATATCACGAGAAGACTTAGCATTAGGAGCCATCCCGGGAAGCTGACGCCATCTATAGCACAAAATGCCTTCTAACAAGGCTGGCTTCAAGAAGCCAGCTTAGTGTTTCCACGGGCGTGTTTCTGCGTTCATTAGTTCAACAGATTGAAGTCCATATGTAATATGGGTATACCTACCCTATGCGCCAAAGAAACGGATATACCAACGCAGTTCACGACTTATAAACCGACAGTCAGCGGGTCAGCATTCACGACCGAACCAGCCTAAAAGTTTCCTCAACTAGTCATTTATCGGAAGCATTCACTGAGTACCGACAGCTAGCTCATGACCTGCAATCACACGTACAAATATCACTCAAGCAGAGTATGGCACCCTAATGCCTCTCAGCCAGTGGGTCAGTGTCAATCGATTGGTAAAAGCTTTTACTTACGGTAATGAATTCGCTCTAGAAATCCCAAACCCCCGAAACAAAGAAATAAAAAAATATCTTGCATGAACGTGCTGCCAAGCGACAGACCGGAGTCTTGAACGCATAAGGTTTCCGTCAAAATAAAAGCCTGACTCGGGGACTGTGGATTAGGGGGCTTCTTGGATAAGCAACACCGTCGTAGGTGGTAGGCTCCATCCAATGTAGATATGGTCACCACCGAACCAACATGGGAAAGCACAGTTATCATGCTTTTTTGGAGAGAATGTCGGGCGAGATCGTATCGCTATGATTTGAAAGTGGCAGGCAAAAACAAAACGAGGGAGGGCAAACCAAGAGACATCACGCCTAGAAAATGGCAAGAAAAGTGTAAACTGCGGAACAAGGGGAACCAGAACATCAGATCTGGTAAAGCAGCAGAGTTCGCATCATTCGACAGATCAAATTGAACTTAAACCTAAAACCAGCGCTGAGGCCCCGTTGCCTTGGGCAGGGTCAGAAGCGTAATTGAGGATGATGAAGTGAAGGGTTTAGAAAAGGGGTAAATGGTAACAGTAATCTCGTAAGCACGGTTGACAGTGAAACTGTAGAGCCCTATTATTGTCACTGTTGTGGAGTTGAGCATAATAGTTTCTTGGGAGGGTAGGATGGTGGCAACGCATCAGGCTGAACACAAATTGTGTACGAAATTATTGGTTTTTTGGGGAGCACAGACTGAGAGCACATCAAAATAGTTATCTTGCTGACAAAGTAGACATGTTATTGTTCAACCCCCACCAAGACAAATCTGACAACGACCATGCGCTTGGGGCTGGCATTTCTTGAAGGGGTGAGAGGGGTGTGCCTAGAGAGGGACAGAAAAATGAATCTTCTGGTAACGAGATTTGAAATATATTTCTGTCAATTCTCACAGCTTACGACAAAGGCTTTGCCTGTTTTTACTCTGAAAAACACATGGGCGCGTTATTCCTCACTCAGAGGGTGTAACAAACGCAAAGTTCTGAAATGTTCACGGTCTGCAACCTCCAAGCTGGCATCCTCGCTAAAAGAACCATCACAGGTTCACAAAGTGTATTAGGCCCAGCATCAGGCCAAAAACACATGTCCAGCCCGCCGTAGGTGGGTGATAATAATGTTTATTTTCAACTGGTTGGTAGAGGCCGTCAGGCGTGATAATAACACAACGGTTAGAATATAAGCGAGACTTG